TGTGGCCAGGTCCCCCTCCCCCCCAAGTGCCGCGCACCCGGGGCCGGTGTTCTCCCCCCCCTCCCCCCAAGTACTGTGCACCCAGGGCCAGCGCACCCTGCAAGCGCCGCACGCCCAGGGCCAGGCCAGCCCTGAGCACTTGGCGGGCGCACACAAATGCCCCCACGGGCACCATGGCGCCCGCGGGCACCATGTTGGGGACCACTGGTCTAGACTACATCCATTTTTCGGAAAAGTGATGCAAATTAGACGTATCGCAATTGCTAATGAAGCGGGGATTTAACTCTCCCGCACTTCATTAGCATAAAAATGGCTGCCACTTTTTTTTGGCACAGAGCTTTGCCGGAAAAAAGCACCAGTCTAGACACGGATCTTGCGGAAAATAAAGCCTTTTCTGAAAGATTCCTTATTTTAAGAGGGATAAGGGATCTTTCGGAAAAGGGTTTATTTTCCGCAAGATCCGCGTCTAGACTGGCGCTTTTTTCCGGCAAAGCTCCGGGCCGAAAAAATGGCTGCCGCTTTTTTATGCTAATGAAGCGTGGGAGAGTTAAATCCCCGCTTCATTAGCAATTGTGATACATCTAATTTGCATTCTTTTATGAAAAAGGGATGCAATCTAGATGTAGCCCTGATGTATGTGTGAGCTGGGTACTGGTCAAAATAAGCTAAGTGATCAAACTGCAAATAGCTCAGTTTTGCAAGAAGGAGCAGGTGGAAGTGTAACAAAGTGAAGATTGAAGGCTAGTTATCTTCAGACCCCACTGATCAGGAGCAGATGTGAGGAGTTACCTGGGAGCAGACAGGTTCCCTCAATGCCATCAGAGTGGCCTATGACTGTGTCTCCAGTAAAATGTATTGTGTGTGTAAGATAAAAATATGGTAAACTTAACTCAAAGGTAATTTGTTTATTAATATCTAAGGCCAAGATTTTAAGTGTGAGTGAGTGAACAGCTTATAAGGGCCTCATGTTCCAAATAAGCCCCCATCCTCTGAAAAATCAGCCTCTGTTAATGGAACCCAGCTGAGGAATGCAGAATTGCAGGTAGCTTTTGAAAATCTTGGCTATAGAATTTAGGTGTAAAGAGCACATGTGCTTAAGACAGTATAGGGATATTGCTGTAGATGAGATACATGCTAAAAGAGCTGAACCCTTGTAAGTGAAAGCTGCATGACTTCTCTGGGGTACAAGCTTGTGGAAAAGTGACTCAATATGTTGTATGTATTGTTTGGCTGGCCTCAAACAGTGAGTTCTAAATGTTAATGCAGCAGCTTAACTGGTGGCTAGAATCTCAGAACTCAGTGCTCTCTCAAATGCAAAATTCAATAACTTTCCTTTTTTTTCCTACATACATGTCATCTTCCAGCCTAGGGCACTCATCTGCCACTGGAGGAGCCCCCCCCCCAACCTTCTTACCTTCAGGGCCCCCCTTATCCTTCCTATGTTCCAAGGGTGCCAGTTTCATCCATTGTGAATCTGGAGGTGGCTGCTCCCAGAGTGGCCGGGACTCCAGCCCTCACCCACCTGCTCAGTACAGAGGGAAACAGAAGAGGGTGCACAGTACTTCTCTCTGAGCAGGGCTAAAGCCAAAATAAGCTATACAACTTGAGCTATTTCAGTTGCATAGCTGAAGTTGAAATGGCTTAATTCAGCTTTTGACAGGTCTCTGTGGTAAAGAGCCCAGCCACCCCTTCTAGGACTCCCTTCCCTGCTGTTTCTTCTCTAGAGCATGCACATCTTTGGTCCTTTGCTCTCTGCCCCCTCCTTTACCTCTCTTCCCATCCTCTCACTCTTCCCTTCACTTTTCAACTATGGAAGCTTTTAAAGGCCTCCATCAAGCCAGCAGTGGAGTCAGCTGGCCAGAATCTGCCTGAGCCAGCTCCTTACCAGCTGCTTCAAATTGTCCTGCAGTCCTCTGCTTCTATAAGGGAAGTAGTGGGGGCAAAAGATCTATCTGGTTTCAAGATTAAACTAGATGGGTTTATGAAGGGGATGGTTTGATGAGATAACATGATCTTGGTAACTAATTGACCATTTATTATCAGTGGGAAATAGGTCAATGGAGGGATGATAGGAGTTACTATACAGAACTTCCTGGGTGTCTGGCTGGTGAGTCTTGCCCACATGCTCAGGGTTTAGCTGATCGCCATTTTTGGGGTGGGGAGGGAATTTTCCTCCAGGGTAGACTGGCAGAGGCCCTGGAGGTTTTTCGCCTTCCTCTGTAGCATGGGGTACAGATCACAGCTGGAGGATTCTCTGCATCTTGGGGTCTTCAAAGTATTTGAAGACTTCAATATGTGAGATATAGATGTCGGGTGCTGGATGCTCCCCGTGTGGAGGGAGGGGGACCCGGTCCCGCCCTCTCTCCGGGTCCCAGCCCGGGGCCCTAAGCGCCGGGGCCACTAGCGCCCCGGCACGGTGGACGAGGGGGGTGAGGATTCTCCCCCCTGTGGCTCGTCCACCCACGGCCGCCAGAAGCGCCCTGCCCCGGGCTCCTTCCTCCCTCCCGTTGGGTCTGCCGGCCGATCCCCGTCGCCCTGGCGCCTACCTCGACTCGGCGGTCTGTGGCGTCCCACGTTCCAGTGGAGTCTCGGGGGTGAGTTCTCCGGCCCTGGCGCGCTCCTGGCCGTCCCGGTCCCTCCTGACTCGGCGTGGCGGGGTCCGCCTGCTGTCTGGTGAGGGGCTGAGTGCTCGCCAGGGGCAGTGGCTGTCCCGGAGGCCCCGGGACCAGCTCCGGGCTGGCAGCCGGGCTGTGTGGCGCCCTTGCTCCGTGCTGCGTC